TCTGACCCAGTCTGTCAACAGTCTAACTCACTTGCCTAGGTTTTGAAAAATTACAGGTAGATTAGAACTATGTACATTTAATGTTAAATTGTCACAAACAATCACAATCAGATTATAATACAGCTGTCTATTTCGTTTCGTTTCTTTATAAATTGGAACTATAAAAACCAAAACGAAATAGGATCTTTGTATTAATCAGATTGCATCAATCATTAATGATCACTGCATGTTTGATATCATTGTTGTTACCAGTTTTATTTACAGGAATCTATGACAACTGTTTGACAGCTTTGGCAGCAAACCGGATTAGGTTGACATAGTAGAGATGTTTCTGAAACTTTTCCGATTTGTAAGGAGGACTGGCAAGGCTATTTTCCATTGTCATTGACAGGGGCGGACGGGGCCTCCGACCGACGGACGTGGTTCAAGGGCCCCATGGCCAAGATTAGGAAACAGATTGACTTTTAAAAAAAAAAAAATAATCAAAATAAATAAAATTGATCTTCTCATCCACTGAAAATTATGGCTTAATCTAGGTAAGTCATCCAAATATCATCCAAAGTCTTCGACATTGAAAACACGAATTATTTAAATCAACATTGATGTTGTGATCTTTTCGGGAAAAGATGGGCTTCTGATATCCAATATTTAACACAAAATAAACATTTTTCCATTGGTACACGAATTATGTTCCATAATGTGTTTCAGCGCGATTGGTAACAATGGGCTCGAAAATCGAGGCTATTCACCAAGTCATGTCTAACGGTGACGTCATATTCTTATCTGGAGAGCATGCGCAATAAATACTATCGGTGAAGACTGGAATAACCAGACGCTAGAGATTGCGATTCGATTGAGACGTCTGGCGTACTTCGCCGAACTTAACTGATTTGAAATTAGACTAAAAAGGGAAATATACATTCACACTACATTATTATATGCGTTGCGACCCATTTGTGTCAATTTCTAGGTCCCAAATATTAGCGATTTATCCCCTTTAAAGCATTAATAATCTATGAATAGGGTGGGAGAAAGGTGAATCAAGTTAGTTTCATTTTCTCGCCATCAAGGAAACCAGATAATTTGAGTGCCCAGGGCTACGCAGTCTGCCCCTGGTCATTGGTAACACCTGCGAGGATGCTGTTCTGTCGTCTATACTGCTCGTAACATATCCAAGGGTATTTGAAATTCTACAGAAGAGTTGTCCGTAGAAAAAAAATTACACCATACTTTGGTGTCAAAAATCAACGTGTTTTAATCTGTTGACGACATATAGCCTACAAATGGTCTAATTTCATTGGTAAACGCCTAATTTATTCAACATCTTGAAGATAACAAAACCATGTTAAAATCCGTGTTAGATTTTTACTCGTGGCAGAATATGTTTCTTTACTTCTGGCGTAATAATTTAAAACGGTGTTATCTCGTGGTACTGTTTGACTGAGAACGGGGGCCATATGTGGAAACGAACAGCTGTTTTTGTCATTATTGCAGGAACCTCTGGCAGCAGATTGCATCCTTGAATAAATACTCTACATTCTTTAATTTAAATCCAGGAAATAATTTAAATATGTTTGGGACGAGAATTTGTGTTAAAGATTTAATTTACTTTAGATATTTGGATATCGGGTTCTATGTTTGTGATAACTTAAAGGGACAGCTGTATGTTTTACACAGAATGTATATACGATCATCTATCTATCTATCTATCTATACTAATATTTGTGACTGTCGTTTGTCTGTCTGTTTGTCTGTCTGTTCGGGGTTGGCGGCTACACCAGGTCTGCCCCAAGTCTGAAATTTGGGGTATAGGGGTAGCTCGGACCGGGGAGTAACATAGGCCAGGTGGCGTTAGTCTACCCGTTCCGGTTTCGGGGTTATGACCCCCGATCGAAACCGGGCATTCTTCTAGTATAATATAAAAACACAAATTTATATGGAAAACAATCACTGATTTTATTTCACACTTCGTTTCAACAAGTTCCTCTTGTCGTTTTATATTATATGTTCAATTAATAAATGCCGTGTAAGGATTATATACGTTCACTTGACCAAACGAATCCGTAATCCCTCAGATCTAAAAGGACAACTGTATGTTTTATACACAGAGAGAGTTCAGTTATATAGTATGACTTGGCTTAAAAAAAAAGTCCGATATACCCCAGATTTAAAGGGACAGCTGTATGTTTTATACAGAAAGTGTTCAGTTCTATAGCATAACTGGACCCAAGGGTCCGTTATCCCCTAGATTTAAAGAGACGGTCGCATGTTTGATAGACACAGTGTTCAGTTATATAGTATTACTGGACCCAAAGAGCCCGTTATCCCCTATATTTAATTTACAGCTGTGTGTTATATATTCTAACTGAAAAAGGTCATCCCCAGATTTAAAGGGACAGCTGTATGTTTTATAGACAAACTGTTCAGCTATCTAGTATACAAAAAATGTTCAGTTATATATTATAACTGGGCCACGAGGGACCGTTATCCATCCCCTAAGCTGTGTTTTTTTTAAAACACACTATATTATAAATGGACCAAAAGAGACTTTGTCTCACAGAAGTATTTCCTTAAAATACATGGTTGAGTATTTTGACTTTTTTCGGGCATAAGACATGTCAAGCAATTGGTTTTTTTTCTTGTGGTGAGAGGAGAACGCCATATTAATTTAAACACGTCTTGGTGTAGATAAAGAACACGTCGTATACAATAATATAAGATTATAAACGACATTCAAATGTATACCAAAGATGGAGACCAAGCTTTAAAATGAGTGACAAACGACACACTAAAACGTAAACTCTATGTCCGCCTTAGACCAAGAAGGTCATCGGAGATCCTTACAAAGTATGAATATTTGATTCGCAGCTTATAAAAACATAATTCATTCCAGATTTAAAAGCAATCAGGTTTGGTGTCACCATTTCTTGTTATGACATTCTTTTACTTAACAGTAACTCTTACATTTCTCTGTTTATCTTTGATAATTATTTCAGAGTTATTCCAGGTTAATATATGAATGCACTTTTCTTTCGAACTAAATTACCTTGTTGAACTTTCAGTATGGATTGTACCGATTGCATTTAATGAACCTTAGACCTGCTGTTTACGGAGAGTAATGTAAAGAGAAGTAGCGAGGGAATTGAGCTTGTCGGGTCTTTTTCTGGGTACATTCTTATAACATCTTTAAGAACCTTGTCAGTACATCTTTACAATTTTGGTCATTGCAAATCTTATGATATTGTCAGTATGCCAATATCGTTAGTACATACATGTTTTTGTTAGTGCCGCCTTATCCTTATAATTTTGTCAGTCCATACTTATGCATGTTGTCGGTACATCCTTACTGTTGGATAAAAAGACATCAGTCCGCAGAAACCCAGAACCAAAACATACAACTGCGCCTGGCAACCAGCTACATGTAAATATAGTCTTGGACGATTGTGAGGTTGAGGAATTGCGTCAACATCCACTTGAAATGTACATATATCTATATCTAGGTACATTTGGGACCCAATCTGACCTATATTTGTAGGCAGGAGCGGGGTCGTCATCGCTACTCGTTTTTTTTATTCTCCTTCTTCTTGTTCCTGGCGCCATGTACGTCGACAAAAGCCAAAGACCACGCCAGCTCTAATACGATCGATCGACATGGAACTTTGTATGTCTGTTCCTTGGACAACTGCGCATCGATTGATATTTCAAGATGGCTGCTATGAATTTTTTTCTCGGTTCCTGTTCCATAGTGCGTTCGTACTTGTTGGTCATTCATTCTGCCCCCGATGGCCTTTAAAAACTATTCAAACAAAACGCAATTAACATATTAAGAACGAGTAAGTTAATGGAAGTTAGTAAATGTTTAATTTTGCTGAAATGATTAACTTCACATAAAAGTCGGATACACTGTTTATTAAATTTAAGAAAGAAAAACAAACCCAACCCAAAAACATAGTTATATGTATTAAAATAATACCGAAACGTAAAATTATTTTTTTTTTATATACAATTTCGAAATTAAAAACCCGAAATTATTTGGTATCCTACTTTAACGTTGGTAATTAATATAGACCATCTGTGCTTATCATGTATATTACACGATATTGTGCCAGGGTTTCTGTGAATGAGGTTGTCCAGTGTTCAACGTATTAAACTTCTTTCTAGAAAACCTACCCCGCCTTAAGCCACCTGGTATAAACAAATTCTCTGTGACATATATTATTTATAACTGAATGCCGGGAACATCAAGTACAAACTTATTACAAATTAAAACAGAATGCATGTTCTACTAGATCTAAACACGTGTCATACGCCCTGTTTTATGTAAAAATTCCGTGTTTTCCGTGTCCTTTACAAGTCTGTATGTTGTATTCACTTAGTGATATGCTGCACTTTCTATCTGTGTTTTCCATAATTTATAGATTTTCTGGCTATTTTTGTAACATTGAAGAAGGGGCGTTACCCTTGGTGTAATACAAAAATATACAAAACAAACACTTACACCGCACACTTAGGCAACTTTCACATTGGGATTTGGATAGATTTTCTTGCTGTTTTTATAACATTGAAGAAGAGGCATTACCATTGTTTTAGTAAAATATATATTTTTCGTTTAAAATCAAATGGTTACTTTGGTCATTTTGAAACTAACATACTAATAACATGTGCACTGCTAATGGGAGGGGGGATTTAGCCAGGGTAGCAGCCTTGCTTCTCTATCGAATTCCAACTGTAGTAGGTATACGTGGCCGACTGTACAAATGCGGTCCTGACGACGTATCGGGCTTCTCTGAACGCAATGCCGCATCAACTGACATTTTAACAAAGAGGTGGGGTTTAACGTCCACTCGACACAAACTAGGTCATTTTGTGACTAACATATGGTTCAATTGTATTTCAATAATTCGCTTGCGCTTAGGGGCCAGTGGGAGGAAACCGGGGGACCCCGGAGGAAACCCACGAAGTTGGACAGGTTTTTAACAAAGAACACAAACATAATAAAATTGTTTTAAAGCATGTATTTCTTACTCACAATAACAATACAAAAATAAATGCAAATAAATAAAATGAAACAAGAATCTCACTATAATATTCCAGTGATTATTATGACTATATACGAGATGATGAACTAACAAACAATGTTAAACAGACCTATTGGACGAATCAGTCAATTGGCTAGGATCCATCTGTTGTTAAGGATACACATTGCATAAATCATAATAAATTCAATCTGAATAAAACACAGATCCTATTTCGTTTCGTTTTCAAAGTTCAAAATTTCGTTTTACTTGTCTTTACTACTCTAGGATCTGGAAGAGTTGTTATCATTGACGTGTTCTGAATTTTGTGAGAGATTACCAATGAAACGGTCTGTTACGGCGAGCTTTAGGCGTGTTTTGCACGGAACTGTGGGTAATCCACTAGTGACATCAATGCGGATTGGTTAATCAAATGTCTGACGTCATAGGGTCATAAGCCGCTCGTATTACCTCTGACGCGACCTATTGCTACAACCGGTCCGATCATCATGTAGTGTAGGCCATCGAAAGTATAAAAAAAACGAAACAAAATATAGTTCTGTATTTTAATCAGATTGTAATAAATTATGCTTCGAAACAAATCTTTTCATAGCCAAAAACTCACTTGGATACGCTAAACGTACCCGATTTCCTAACACAATATGTGTCCAAACAGATTGAGACTGAAACCTTCTGCTTTAATAACTGACTTGTGCGATCACCATTAATAAAGACAAAGAATGCGGCCAATGGAAAGACAAATATTTGTTTTCTTATGCCAGGTTCCCACTATCAAGATTCGTGCTACGATTGAAATCGTGGTTTTAATCGTGGACTAATCGTGGACTAATCGTGGTGATCCTATCAGGTCTTATCATATATTGCGGTCAGTCGTAGCAATCGCGTTGATCGTATTGAAACGTATCCGAACGTATCTGAACGTACCAGATCGTGAACAATCCTATTGTAACGCATCGCACTACCGTGGGAAGCTAGCATAAACAGGAAGTTTGTGTTGCACTGTTCCATTTACACAAACCTCATAATATTGCCATTTTCAATGCGACCTCATTTAAAGCTGAACTCCGATTACAAAACTACAGGAATAATTAAATTGCTAACCGGATGTGGACAGTGTGGTTGATAAGGTATGCACTGGATGTGGGCGTGGTCTGCGTCTGTTTTTGTACGCCGTAAAATCGCCATGATTGTTTTACAGCTTGAAAACAAGTATGGCGATTTTTAGGGTGTTAAATTTTTTTAATTTAATTATTTCTGTAGTTTTGTAATCGGAGTTCAGCTTTAAGGGGTAATGATTATAGAATTCAAGAGTATGTGCAGAGACCACACCCGGTTTATATTTTTAAACTATTTATATAATAACATGAATTGCATCAGCCTAAAGACACCACTTAGAACTCCTAAATTGAGTAGGGATGATAGTGCCTGTTCCCTTGACTAATGGTTCTAAAACGGAAATGAAAACTTGAAAGTGAAAGGTCAATATGCTTTCTAGAATGATATAATTAACTATTATAAAAACATTTGGATAGTTGAAAAGGTGTAACATTTTAGTTGGTTAACTAACGAGAGAGAGAGAGAGAGAGAGAGAGAGAGAGAGAGAGAGAGAGGGGTAACGTCCACTCGACACAAACTAGGTCATTTCGGGACTAACACATGGTTCAATTTTATTTCAATAATTCGCTTGCGCGCAGGGGTCTTTAGCAGTGGGAGGAAACCGGAGGACCCGGAGAAAACCCACGAAGTTGGACAGGCGACCCTACTGTTATTCTGTTTTGATTTATAGTTACTTGAGATACTATCATTAGTCTTGTATTAAAATATTAGACAGGAGTTGATGCTCATGGGACGACGGGGGTGACGGTGGGATGATAAAATCTAAAGTGAACATTAAATCGTTTTGTCAGGCAATAAGAGCGATTAGCTCGTAAATTTAAAACTCAAATAATGATACCTCGATCAGAGTTCAAATTTGGTACATGCTACTAAACAGATTTTACGAACAATCGATTTTAAGTCATTTCACCAGAGCAAATATTATAAAAGCTAATGGATCTCTGAAAAGATTTCATAATTTTATAAAAAAAGATATATTGATATATCATTTATATTATGCAATATTATTAGAAGATGAGATTGGGTACACATTCATGCCCTTTTAAATATGACAATTTTATACAATGTTTATTTACACAATGCCATTACGATACCATAACATTATTTTCTTCAACATACATTTTTATGTGAAATACTTTTATGCTCATATTCTATATAATATGTGCAACAGAAGTGGTGACGTAGACCTAAAGTTCCAGCTATTTACACAATAGAAGAGATGAATAATCTATGGTTTTTTTCAAATATAATTACAACAAACGTTTCATAAAGGATTTCAGAAAGTGAACAGGCGACGAGATTTTAAATTGGTTACAGAATTTTCACTATCACAATAAATTCTTTATTTAAAGATATATTATTCAAGAGTCAAATTTAATTTGTCTATTGCAGGTCTTTCTTTGGGCCTTAAATGTTATATAATTTATTAATTAGACATTTATTAACATGGCAAGACCATAATCAACTCTCTAGGCCATCGGATGACTCCGGTTTTAAGTACATTAGAACGGTTCGGCCATTTAATAATTTAATTTAAAAATGGAGACTCGAGAATAAGTCTCGAATATACCAGTCGGTTAAGATAATAAATAATCAGTGCACAAACAGAGATAACTTCGCTCAGAATGAAGTCATTTGAATGAAATTTTCAATATATTCATTTTGCATTATCTGTTTTTAAACTGTTAAATAGAAAGAACCAGCAACTGTTTATCTAAATCTTACATAATGTATCTTTAATATGATTTGTTGTAAACCGTCACGCTTACGTCATATTGTCTGCAATAAATAAAGCTATGTACACATTGTTTTATGCTAGATAGAATATCTACCTTCATATCTAAGAGTCATATCTCAACTCACTTCCGGTCGCATTACACCATTTAAAAGCACCTCTACACACATAACAATAACGTCATCACTTCTTGCATTGCTCTATATACAAAATACTTTACACGAAAGTCATTGAGATCATCACGCCAAGATGGCGCTTCGTCGAATTTGTCTTTGCCTCGTCACGGTATATGGTTTATGTTTTATTTTCAACAGTCTTTGCTCAGAATCTAGTAACGCAAATGTCGGGGAAAAAGTTGAGAGTTTTTAAAAGCTCGGTGGCCATGGTAAGTGAACCCCGGTTTTATGCCCTTTAGAGTCTGCATTAACATGGACACGAAAGCCCTATTTGCAGAGACGCCTTATATTATATGGAGACAGTTCTTTTTCCGCGCACAAGCAGAAGCGTTATAGTTTCTATGGTAACACCACACTATCAATGACGTTGTGCTCACTTTATAAATCTTCTTAATTTCCGACCTCTGGACTGACCTGTAAAGAAAATAATTAACATTCATATATTTTACGATCAGGAATATTTGCTAGAAATTTTTATTATTTTTGTTGCTCTCAATTGAACATTCGACCTTTAATTGCTATAAGTTCAGGTCGACGAACGACTGCGTTATTAGAATAGAAATTGGTATACAATAGAACTAAGCTGTTTTTTATCCTGCAAAACGAGCATGTTAAATGTCAACAATGAAACTGAGGACGGGAATAACAAAATGAACTTCAGACGTTTAAATGTTAATAGCTCCAAGTTTCCTTGATTTAGACAACCTAAAGTCGGCACATTAAAATGTAAATGTCATTATTAAACAGAGCTACTGTACTTTGTCACAGGGTTCCTGTTTTGATAGTTTCGTACGATTATGACTATATTGCCACTTTAGCCATGACCAGTCAAAATGTTCCATTAGAGTGGCGTTTCCTTTAAAAGGGCTATTATAGAAAACAATTTGAAGCAAATTGGAAATAGACCACACGCGTCTTAAACCAAGTTAAAATATTACATGGTCGTTTATTCTTACGGTAACCGTAAATTAATACCCACCCTTACGTTTTGCTAATTTGGTTTTACTAAGGCATTTCCTCTTGCAGCGTTTTTTCCGCCCAAAATTGTTACCACCTGTACGGCATCCACGAAATTTCCGGCATTGTCCGGAAATCGGGTCAAAATACCATCGCTTCCTTAGTTTTTTACATTTTTTAGCTTCTTCTTCAAGAGGCATGTGGCAAACGCCGCGGCCCTTCTCAGATGACGTAACACTCCCATCATCCCTCTGCGGTGTATTGTCTAAATGCCATAAATACTTTTTTCTGTTTTTCTTTTTGGGCTTGGTTTTCGTTTCTGGAATAACAATTCGGAAGAAAATATTATAATTGAATTTATGGTAACAGATCAAAATAATTATTTTAATATAACCGTTGGGGTGTTGATGGGGTGGGGGTGGTGGATGGCCGAATGGTTAGCATGTGCGCGCTGTATCATAAGGTCTGTCATTCGATTCCCCGGTTGTACGGGACAAGGAGTAGGGTCGCCTGACCAACCTCGTGGGTTTTCTCCGGGTCCTCCGGTTTCTTCCCAGTGCTAAAGACCCCTACGCGCAAGCGAATTATTGAATGAAATTAAACCATGTGTTAGTCCCGAAATGACCTAGTTTGTGTTGAGTGGACGTTAACCCTCTCTCTCACTCTCTCTCTCTCTCTATCATATAACCGTGTAGCTAGCGTTAAAAACTTGTAGACAAATACATGTTGTAGATATGATATGTCAATTGAAACTGTTGCTATATAGGTGTAATGTCTCTGAATAAGGCGTGCCCCCCACCCCCTCAATGGGACTGGCAGGGGCAGTGTCTAGTCGTTCGTATAGGACGAAACACCAGGATCTCGCGTACACATTCGCATGTCTCGGAATGATTACTGCCATCCCTACTTGTTTTGGTTAGACTTTACTTGTAACTTTATATCCATTTCTCAAAAAATGTAACTATCTATCCAAATGTCATTATTATTTCTTTGACAGATAAGTCATTACTTCTTATCCTGTCTCTAATATTAAAGATAAAAATAGCCGTTTTATCAATCAAGTGGTTAAAAGTAGGCATGCTGTGGAATTCTTTACTCCCGGGAGTTCCTGAATTAACGTCATTCAAAACTGCTAACAGTAGTACCAAAATTATAGTACATCTCATTTTTTCCTACTTTTTAGCCCGAAAGCCTATCTGACATCTTTCAAAATACTTCTGATTTATGACCAGGAATGTATTTATCACTTAACATTTAAATGAGAAAAGTCTTTTAAAACAGAAGCTTCATAATAAACCATAACTACCGCGACCCTTATTATCATAATTATATGCACTTAATGTTTGTTTTTCTCTGTGGCTATAATAATATACAACATTCCTCTACCCCGCTGTGTTATCTCTTATTGCTTTATTTTAGACTCTAAATCAGTTTTTTAAAACGATAAAGCATACCTTTTAATCTAAATCGTTATATTATATAAGGACATTTCAACGTATGACTAACTTCATTCGGAGATAAGAAAGTCAGTCGCTTTATCAAGTTATTCAATTTGCATCCACAATGGTTGTTCCGTTTAATTTTACCAAAAGAAGCCAGATGTTATCATGATTCACCGAAATGGTTTTATGGCCAGTTATTTCTACGAACTGTTTAATTATTGTTTTCTTTTGCAGAAAAGCTTGCCGGGATGAATTCGGATTTAGCAATAGAAATTTCTTTGAAATCCACGTCAAAATCATTGCCCCAGTTATGTTGTATTTTACACATGACATTGTATGTTGTAGGCTTTATTTGGGGAATTCACAATTTTGTAACACTGCTTTAGTGGTCCTCGCACGGATGATTTGAACACTGGCTACGACCAATGGACGAATGCATTCAGTCAACCGGTTTAATACCACCCAATTTCTCAAGCCCCCCCCACCACATCCTATTTTGCCTATACTAATTTTCAATAAGACACAATAGCTACAGATCCACCAATTGTTATTAAACACACGTGTCCATAACTTGGTCAAGATCTGGCTAAGGGATATCCAAGCATCAAGATTATGAAGTAAACCAATACATTTATACTTAGTGTTTATCTTTAATGGAATTTATTAACGGTACTTGTGGACTAGCCGACCTTCATTATTTGTCTACACCTATTAGATAGTACTCTTAAACATCAGATAACTGACCTAAGTTTCTGTTATCCTCAGACACCCACACAATACGACTTAATAAATGACTTTAATAGCCTGACCCCAATAAAGAAATCTAAACTACTGCCCCTATTTAGATGTTGAGTAATGAATGGTGTCATGAGGGAGAGAGGGAGAGAGTGAGAGAGAGAGAGAGAGAGAGAGGGGATGTTTAAGCCCCATTAGGTCATGAGTGCATTCTATTTCAATAATGCGCTTGCACGTAGGGTCTTTAGTTGAAACCCACTCCTTGTCACATACACGCAGGGATTCGAAACCACGTCACTTGACAGAATGTATGATCTAAAGCGCACGCCCTAGATCATTCGGCCACTCACACAAACCCCACCCTGTATATGGTATACGAAAATGTAACAGGACAAATATATAATAGACAATGAGGATAATAGTGTTAAGATAGTGTTAAGGGGGTCACGGTGGCTAAGTGGGTAAAACGCTGGCTCGCTAGTCTAGAGATCGGGTGTTCAATTCCTGCATTGGCTGAGAAAGTTCATCCAGATTTTCCGGCGTGGTTCCCCCTTGTCAGTGATGCAGGACGGGGTTCTGCACGTAAAAGATGCCTTGACAGTTGGAATTCCATATAAGAGTAGACCGTAGTGCCGCTGTCCGGGCAAAATTTCCCTCATAGCACACTGTATGGCGTATGTCCGTCTTCATTAGTCCAGTTCAGAGTAGAACAGTAGGACGTTAAACCCCATTTTATTTCATTTCATTTTGCATACTCAGAACAATATTTTGGTGTATGCTTTTAAATTTACATTTCCTAATCGTAAGGATTAAACATCACCATGTCCGTATATTAACAATCAATTATGTACGAATCTAAATTGAACTGTCTAGCTTAGAGCCATAATAACCGATTCGGCAATAATTTAGCCGTAAACATGATCTATTTGGGAATAATAAAATATAACACAACTTTAGGGTAATAGCCTTTCGGCGCTAGCATATATTATATACAAGAAAAGGCAAACTTGAAAAGAGTTTCCGGTTCACGGATCTCTCGACAGCTAATGTAACCCATTAAAAAAAGCTTAACGTCATACCAAGTCTAAAGAAATTAACATCGACATCCTCTTGTAGCTAATTTTAGAAATTCCTGGAGTTATTTACAGAACGAATCAATGATAGATGATAAATATTCAATTCTTATTTGTCTACGCTCTGTCCACTTATACCAGAATAGACCACGCCGTCAGCAAGGAACATAAAGAGACACAGGCGCAACATCGATCCCTGCCACACATACACACGTACAATCCAATCGTTCTAGAATAACTTATCCAATATTGACTAACATGTTCGATACACTAAACTCTAATAAATATTATTAAAGGGTCGAGTGGCGATCATTTATAGATATAATTGATTATATTTGTAACGTACGCCTACACAAACACCACAAAAAATGTGTACTCACTGATTTAGCAATAAAATTGATAAATTGACTACAAAACTCGGATATTAAGTAGCGTATTATTGTATCAGATATTATCTCGTAGTGTTTATTGTTGGTAAATGGGCAACTAGTCTAAGATATGAACAGTTGTAATTAAGAGATAACATATTTTCATTAACAATCACAGCATGCTTTTAAATTGCAGTATTTGCGAGGCGTGTTAAATGGGTAACGGAGGTAGGGCGAAGAGTACAAGTTTATTATTTATCAGCTAATAATGTGATATATGTCATCTTGCGTGGCGTTTTTGCGTCTAAATGCTAAATTGAAGATATCCAATTCAGTTAAGCCGACGTCATGATAAAAGTTAGAGACGTATTAATAAAGGAGCCGCAGTGACTCGGTGGGTAAGACGTTGGCTCGGTAACCTGGAGGCCCCATGTTGGATCTGGGTGTTGGCCGAGAAAGTTCATCGGAATTTTCTGGTGTGGTCCACCTTGTCAGTTCACTACTCTTTTGTAGTGAACTGTAAATTATCAAGTATAAAGTGTATGGCGTATGTCCGTCTTCATTAGACCAGTCGGCACAGAACAGTAGGGCGTTAAAACCTGTCACTTACCTTGACAAAAGGCCTTTGCTTTACACGACGACCAATCACAATCTGTTCGTTTAGGGACATCAACAACACATTTACTACTACTATGACAATAGATATTCTGAAAAATATAATATAGAATAACATAAATATTGGCTATCAACTTAACAAATTGGGATCTTTATCTTCAAATATACGACAACGTCTTGATTGTCGTTGTTTCCAGCGAGTTTCATCAAGTTGCAGACATGCACGGTTGATTCTAGTTCAAAGAAGACGAGAAATGGAAACCCTTCTTGAAACCCTATTTACTAAATAATGATGCTTTTTGGCGATTACAAGTACAGTTGTCTAGTCGTTCGAATGGGACGAAAAACCAAGGTGGCGTGCACGTAAATGATCCCTTGGCAGTTGGAATTCGATATAAGAGTAGACCATAGTGCCGCTGCCTGGGCAAAATTTCCCTCATAGTACTCTTAATGGCGTATGCCCGTTCTCATTTGCCTTGTCGGAGCAGAACGGTAGGGCGTTAAACCGTTTTCATTTCATTTCATTTCATTTATTTGTATCTTCCAGACTAGGCCAATAGTTTGGCTCTTTATATTTTCGGCATTGACAGTTAGACTAGTGTAAATCGTTACCAGAGCCCAATTTGCCAAATATTTGGTTGCTTTCATCTATTCAAAGACATGATATATATAGCACCGGGACAGTAACCATCGACTGCCATACTCTTATGAAAATATTACTTTATCAAGGCCAGCTGCAGAATAGGATAATTCACAATCATTACCACATATATGTCAATCAAGATTATTTTGGCACGACACCTCTCCATTTTACTGGATAATAAGTGAGAACGACTGACTAAACTTGAAACCACGAAAAACAAAGGATGTTGTTAACATTTGCGAATAAATTACCACACAAAAAATAATTAACTATTTATCTTGTTTTGTTTTTTTTAGCTCCATAAAATTGGATAGCTGTATTAGTCATTCTTGCAATTTACACAATCTGTGTGATCCCCATGTATCACTCATTGTAATATATTTATCCAGAGGTATGCAATTGACATTAATGGTAGCCATGACATTTACAGTATTCATGAATGGCGGAACCCCAACTTGGAAGAAATTTTTCAATTATTCTGATAATATTACAACACGATATTTAGCCCTTTGACCCCAATTATATACCATAAAATAGAATAACTAACCCCAACAAAACACAAATCAACAGACAACAGGAAGCGAGGTGGAATGCGAACATCTTGTTATCATCATTTGAAATGAAATGGGATTATGCACCAACCGGTATAATAAACTATGCGGTAGGCTATGGGGGTAATTTTGCCCGGACAGCGACCGACTCTTAATTCGAATTCAACTAGCAAGGGCTCTTTTACGTGCAGGTCAACCCTTACACTGGACGTCTGTTTTTCGACCCACCCAAAACATTAGACGCTGTTTCTTGCCGGCACCCACCCCGGTTTTTCGTCCCATCCAAATCATAAGACAATAATCCATACAAGCCCCCCCACCCAAAATGAGGAATTAAATTCATCGTTAAGAAGAAACTACGCATCAGTATGGGTATTATCATTTTCCTATCAGATTATTTTATTAATAGATGTTAGGAAGTATTGACTATCAGGATCTTCCGAGAACTGTTTCCAAGAATAAAGTAGTATAGCGTTACTATTCCGGGTTGTGTTTTCCTGTTTTTCATAATTATTCAACATGCAAGCAGGATATCTTCCTTCGTGAATAATTGGATCATAATATATTCTAATCAAAATCCCATTTATATCAAATTCTCCCGACATTTTGAACATATTTTTCTATCGATGGCTACAAATGAAATGAGGTATAACGTCCTACTTTTCTAAAGACCCCTACTCGCAATAAATTTGAACCAAATGTTAGTCCCAAAGAACCTAGTTGCTGTAGAGTGGTCGCTAAAACCCATTTCTCGCTCCTACTTTTCTGTTCCAGCCGGCCTAATGAAAACGTTCGGCAAATGGATGGTTATATATCCATAATATATATATATATATATATATATATATATATATTTTTTAAACAGGAAGCAATGAATTCAAATGTATAATCGAAATGGGTAAAGGCTGTAAAGACATCAATACTGAATTCTGCTAAGCACTCTCGGCGCACCACTTTCAATCAAGAAGTAGAGTCATACATCCCAAGGTATTGTAAATAAACAAAGCTGTTTAAATAAACACTGGATAACTGCTGTATATGCACCTATCTAATTGAAGATGTATATTTGAATAGATATCATGATGATCTATGATCACCTCAGAACAATTGAGTCAAGAGGATCATCACGTGTGTTTAAAATTCCAATCTCTAACATCCGCCATTTTCTTTTGAACTTTTATCTTGAAGCGTACACGAGGGGGTTTCGTAGAAAAAAAACTTGACATTAAATCTTCAACGTGAGAATAGGTATATAGGCATATTATGTTCGGAATGTTATTTATTTGTAAAGTTTCTATGCCAAATATCATGGCACTCGACTACCCCCAACAGCGGCTAATTCTTGTTTTCATTCGGTAAGAGTGGGGTAAGTAGCGACCAAGGAGGCCGTTTGGTCTGGAATGTCAACATCACAGCTGTTCAACATTGAAAGGTTGTTAGTTCTACTCATTTCCTTGCCTCGACGCATCTTCATCAATCTGATAGGACGAGGAACTGGTGTCGAAGCGAACACGACCCGCTTTGGCCTTGGTTAGTTTAAGTCTGTACGACAATGGAATTGCGTCTAAAGGAAACGAAGTCTTCCTAGATCTTGTTGATGATCTCGTCATGGGGATCCTCTGTCTTGTATAAATATTGTGATAGATAGTAAGGATGTATGCTTAAACACACCCTTGGGCAAAATTCCTGGCTTCTCATTGTTTTTGTTTGTTCTGATTGAAAGGTCAGGCAATTAGCCATCAATACTAACACGCCTATTGTCGGTATCGTTATAAGAACAATATCAACGTGATAGAATTTAGTATACTTATATCTGATGTCGATAAATTAAAGAGATTTATTCATGGGTCAATTGAACACCAATCTGCGAGTTGCGTTAAAAGTACACATAGTTCACAACATAAGAGTGAACACTGCATTAACAGGCGTAACTGACCAAATGTATCTGGGGACGGGTGTTTTGATTACGAGAGATTCTGCCCGATTTTCGCCACAGTTTTTAAAGGAAGAGCTTAAGTGTTCACACGCATTCAGGACGAATTCAGACACCCGGGCAGAAATGTTTCTATACCCTTCGGAATAAGGTGTTCCTCTATACCTTTCTGTCGAAATAAATCAATGGATATATATTAATCTAAAATATTTAATATTATTTACGGTTTGGGGATCAATTCTCTTTTGAGGCGGTCTTTCCATACCCAATCCATTGTATTGTTCTATTGTATGTTAACAAAGCTGACCCTATAAAAGGTTATCAGTAAAGCGTATTCCAGAAACAAAGCATAATTTACAATCGTTGAAACTTTGTATATAAAAAACAATGGTTGATATTTGCTTCACTAGATAGAACCGACACCTTCTACCGTGGCATATTACTTTAGATGTTTGTTGGGAAAAAATGTACGCAGTTGGCGTAATGATGCATCCAGATTAGACGAATGTGAAATGTAAGTCCTCCTGACTAAGCCGAGTTCAAAACGGACCATCACCCATCCTTTCACGATTTTCCCGTGGCATATTACTTTATATGTTTGTTGGGAAAACTTGTACTCAGTTGGCGTAATGATGCATCCAGATTAGACGAATGTGAAACGTAAGTCCTCCTGACTAAGCCGAGTTCAAAACGGACCAACACCCATCCTTTCACACGATTTTCCTACCCGTATCTTTCTCGTGATTCATTTACAGATTCTCCTATTCATCTCATTGACATTGTTTACGCATTAAAAAAGTAGTGACCTTGTGTTCTGGTACAAACAGTTTTATCATTTGGTTAGTTTGCCCCAGATATTCAAATACTCTTTAACATCGAACATGGCTAAAACAGTGGACGTTTGTTTAGCTGTGAGGGGAAACAAGAGACCAAGAGACGTAAAACCCACGATGTTAGTCAGGCGATCCTATTACTTGTCACGTTGGTTGTATCAGCTTCCAAAAGAATAAAACGTTTTAAAACGTTTTTGCAAGACGACTTGGAGCTTTTTAGTACCAGATCCTTCGTCGTGCACCATTGGCAAGCAGAAATCGTGACTGGATATTTTCGATAAACTTTCTAGGTCAACACCCGTGTCGAACCCAGCGGCATACACACCGCCCCACCGTGGCTCACACTGTCCCGTACCCCAGAACGAGTATAGCAGAGTGTAGGGCGTGTCAATCACAAATAGGACTTTTGCGGCACAATGTTTTTATATCCCTAACCAGTTAGTTCCTATTAGTTGAGTATTTTTGTCAATGGAGAAGTAGTTCAGAAAAAAATGCACTAAACGTATTGGTCGAATTAAAGGCATATAATTGAAATGGGTGTTACTGGTCTTGTATGTGTGCCAAATTTAGCATTGCAGTATGCGTTCTCAGTAAATAGGGTATGGGTGGTGTTCTGTACAACTAGTTCATGGTCAAAATACCAACACCGAACACATATAATAACGGTTTCTTTAACAATACCACTGGCTCCATTTACGCAGTTAACATAGTTATATCAAGGACGTTCGTATTTATCTACTCCCACCTACTAGCGTTATCTCGCAGTAAACAATGTATTTACTTGGGGATAAATACTATGGCGAAAGTAATTTACTGCTAAAAATATAGCTTTAGCGTTTAAGAAACAACTTAAAGATAACTCCAATTTCATCTTGTACAACAGTAATAAAATGCGAAAAACGCGTATTGATTTCGCAGAATATCAGATATTGACATCAATCTTTCAATAAAGATTTCTTATCACTTGCAGAAAGTTTCATAAGAACTTGGATTCATGATACTCGTATAGGCTAAATTTATTTTGACTAGAGTTGTTCCCCTTATCTGTCCTACATCTATAGCCCCAAATTGCTAAATCTCATATAGCAAATTTGCTACCCATTTTAAATTTTGATTGGTTCAATTGAGTATCACACTTACCGGCTTAAGAAAAGATTGCTGGACTATCAACTGTCAGCATTTATTTTGACGCATATAATTCTTCAACAGCATTAGATAGACCAGCTGAAGAATGGCTGAGAGCAATTACGTCTTAAATTGGCCCAGTTTAATTTTTTATTATAAATTAGCCCTCTTACATCCTCCCCTAAATAATTAAATTTAAGGTAATCAAAACAGTAAAATTGTTGACTGGAGACGAGAAGAGATTTGAATTTCAAATTATATAACATCATACACCTGCGGCACTGTAGGGGAGAACTCTATTCGAACCATGTGTGTTACAGGAACTGTTGGAATTCTGTGACGTCAAAGACTCAAAATATGCGAAGGACACTCTGTTTCTTTTAAAATGGTACCACAAATAAACGAAAGGAAGCGATTGCCGTGTAACGTGGGTTATTCGTGTTATGGTATGTTTTTTGTAAATAGAAACCATACACCTATTGTATGTCTGTTTACTGGAAACAAATTACGCCTCTTTTATATTTGAATTATTTTAAGACATGTGGAATGTGTTGCTTACATTTCAAAACAGCATTTCATCAAACGTGAACTCGTTATTTTACAGCAATGAAAGAGCTACAGAAATTGAATCTTAATGTGTATCATTGAGTCGCTGCAACTTCTTTCTATCATCCAGAAACAGGAGTCACCGATCATATTATTGGCCGAGAAAGTTCCCTGAAATTTTCCAGCATTGTTTCTCCTTATCTGTGTTACAGAAACACCCATTTCATTTCATCCTCGGAATCCGCGGTGTCTCAGTGATTAAGGAAATGAAATTAAATGAAATGGGGTTTAACGTCCTACTGTTCTGCTCCAAACTGGGCTAATGAAGACGGGCATACGCCATACAGTGTGCTATGAGGGAAATTTTGCCCGGACAGCGGCACTACGGCCTACTCTTATATCGAATTTCAACTGTCAAGGGATCTTTTACGTGCACGCCAATGTGTACACGGGATATCGGTTTTTCGTCCCATCCGAACGACTAGACAGCCGTCCTTGTCAGTCCCCCCGTCCTGCATCACTGACAAGGGGGAACCACGCCGGAAAATCTGGATGAACTTTCTCGGCCAATGCAGGGATCGAACACCCTACCTCCAGGCTAGCGAACCAGCGTCTTACCCACTTTGCCACGTGATCCTCCGGTGATTAAGGCGCTAGCTAACTAACCAGGAGGTCCGAGGTTCGATGGGACGAAAATTCGATGGAACGAAAATTCGATGTCCCGTATACACATTTGTGTGTACATAAAAGAAACACTGTCACTTAGAATTCGAAATGAGATTAGACCGTAGCCCTGTCCGGGCAAAATATCCCTCATAGGACACTGCCCGTCTTCATTTATCTCGGCTGGGGCAGAAAAATAGGACGTTAAACCCTATTTAATCCTCTAGAAACGTTACCCGCTTTTGTCCCAAATGATTTAAAGTAAAATAGGACTCTTTATTATCCCCTAAAGTTATTTGTCATCCCATTATCAAAGTTACTGAAATTAATTTATGAGGGTTATTTTGGTTACCGAATTAAGACACAGTTGTCCGACTTATATGTACTGAACAATCTGGGTGAACGTTCGTCAAGCCAACTGTTTCTACTATATTTTATCCAATAATTAGTACGACCTTTTTACTTCTCCCCAGGGCCTTGCTTCGTTGGGTTTTTTTGTTCAGTGGTGCCGGGTAATGACATTGTCTAGTCGTTCGAATGGGACAAAAACTGATGCCCCGTGTACACATTGACGTGGACGTAAAAGATCTCTTGACAGTTGGAATTCGAAATAAGAGTAGGCCGTAACACCGCTCTGCTCGCAAAAGTATCCCCTCGAAGCATGCGGTATGGCGTACGCCCGTGTTCATCAGTCCAATCAGTGCCGAAAAGTAGGACGCTAAACCCCATTGGATTTCATGTCATTTTAATAATAATATGTATTTCTTATTATACGCATTACATCAAAAAAACAATCTCAACGCGTAGTGCTAAAACATATAATATGACATGAAAACATAATTTTATTGACTAAAAAAAGGTTTAAAACCGCGGAGAATAAGTTGCAGTGTTTCAATCTACACTTACGTATTCTAGCTTGTAGAAAATGTGTTGATATCTGATAAGTTTAAATGGATGTAGACTACATAATTAATTTCGACATACTGATGTAAATGCGTAAGGTAATTATACCTTGCTTTCTTTGATGCATGTAAAACCGGATTTATAAAAAGTACATAACAAGTGCAGCTGGGTAATTCATATTGTGCAAGGACACACACCTATTCAAGGTTTTTGCTAGGGCGTCATAACTTCAACTCTTAAAAACAACAAGAAGGAAAGCCCGAGAAGAATTACCTTACCTTTGCATAATCGCGGAGAGAGATACAGGATATAGAATTTTCTATAAAAAGCAGTAATTCAACGACTGATGTCTTGCAAGATGGGAAATCCATAATGTTCAAGGACACAGACCTACTGAATAAGGTTATCTCTGGTGTGTCATAACCTCAGCTCTTAAAAACAAGAAGTAAAACCCGGGAAGAATTACCTTATAAAATATTCGCACAATCGCGGAGCGACATACAAGATCTAGAATTCTGTGATAAGCGGTAATCAAACCAGTGATGTTTTGCAAGAATTTGCACGTTTCCCATATCGGTTGTTACTGATCATAACGTAAGAATCTCAGGAACGACTACTATCAGAAGCACGATTCTGGGATGAAACCCGAGACGATACGCAGTTCATTCATAACATATACTACACATCTCCCCCTCTGTCTCACTGAGCCGCCATCAATCTCAATTGTCTATTAGTCAGTGCTTTTCTTGGCTACTATTATCTATACATAGAAACGAAAACAGTTGAAGGAACCCATCAAATTGTCTGAGAGAGCGAAATGAGCGGTTTAATTAGTATTCTACTATATGCCAGTCTACAAGAACCAGGCTATGAAGTACATATATTGTGTGTTTTCCATCAAAGATGGTATTTTGTGCCAGTTTCTATCCTTGTTATCAAGTACTAAAACTTTGTTGTTCTGTTATTTCGTTTTTATAAGAAAAAGATGATACGAAATGCGAGCTCCTTGAGTAGTAAAACTATCAACTCTAATTTGGTAGTTTTATCTTTTGATAATATGGTGAAGAGGAAGTCGTTCATCTAGGCTCTGTGTTGTAAGTGTGGGATAATTTGTTTCAACATCTGCCAAACACAGGTTTCTGTTTACAAATGAACCCTATGTAATCACTGGCAATACAACTCACGATGTTAACGATTCTGGTTTTTTCTTTTAGTTTCGTAGGATGGGGCGAAACACAGAGGACCATATTCGCTGGCCATCACGTAAAATAACCCTGGCAGTTAAAATTCCGTTGTCCGGGCAGTGTCCCCATAGCGCACTTCATGGCGTATGCCGGGCGAAATTCCCTTATATATACACTGCCCGTCTTCATTAGCCCAGATGCAGGACAGTGGGACGTCAAACCCCATTTCACCATATTTTCTTTTGGTTTCATGTTTGTTGTTAATTGTTTGCAACGTCTATGTAGGCTTATGCTATGAGACCTGCCCGTGGGTTTGTCTTTTGTTGTTGTTTTTTTATGTGGAACTAGCAAGTAAAGTGTTGCCTAGTCCTCAAGGCGGAGCGAAAATCCGAGGCCCATCCGTACAAAACCTCATGACAATTAAATTCCATGCTTGTCTACGATATCACCCGTGGTGGAAGTGGACGTAAAACTCCAGGAACGAACGAACGGCCGACATGGTCGACATGTCCGTGATCATGGAATTGTTTATGAGACATTAAACTTCATTTCTTTTTAAAGATGATACGTAAGTGATATATGGGCCTTTGTACATAAAGCCGTATATGACACACATCGTTAAACATGGCTTATAGTATCTAATAGATATATTGTGGGCGGTCATCTACTTGTATAGAAATATCATATGATATATTAACTACTGAGATATCAACAATATACACACGGGATTCAAGTGGAACGATTGAAACGTGAATCCAGTTGAAAGTTTAGAGACCATATTTGACAGTTAACCTATAATACGACCTTAATAGACCAATTATCCACAAACCACTTTACAAATTGGCTGTAAACAAGTGTTAAACATCGTTAAGGTCAATTGTAGGAAAACAAATTAAAAGGTCATCGTATGTCGAATGGTCATTGTTTCCAGTTTGTTTTGATTTGGTTCATTTATTTATTTAATATGCTAAAAATGGTAATTTTCTGCTCATTTTGAGTATGTCGTAAGAAAATAAACGGATACATACTCCGCTTTTCAAATGTATGGGACTGGGTATTGGGCAGCGGTTGATACAAATTAATACATTTGATTTTAATGCAACCAATTTGTAGTATTTTCGAATATTCGAAACGGTTGACAGCGAACATAGTCCACTTTTCAATGTATGAGGATCCTGTGCAGTGGTTGATACAAACGAAAACCATTCATTTCAATGCAACGAATTTGTAATATTTTCGAATATTTATAACGGTCAACAACGATTTTCCTTTCACAGGAGAATAAATATGGTGTTGAACATAATTATGAAATGAGCGATGCTTACCTCACACGGGTCGTAACATTTGCAGAAATATTGACCTTCCATATCCGTCTTGTATCCATACATACATTTCAAATCACATTTTATCTGATAATATGGCCATAACTCTTTCTTGGCGTAGCTCGGTAACAGGGACGAACCTTCTGTCAGGACCACAGATATCTGGAATACAAAAAAACCTCTTTCATGACATAATCATAATTTGCTTTCTATCGTGCTAAATGGCAGACGGAGATGTTTTGGTAGACACCCCCTGTGACTGGTTTATTTAAACCCCCTCCCCCCCCCCCCCCACACGAATAATTGTCCTGTAGTAGACTAAATGGGCTAACGAGTACCAAGTCTATTTTGATCTCCCGTCTTCATCAGCTCGGTTGGAACAGGAGATTAAGACGTTTCTACTGCGATCTGAAGATTATATGATGCAAAGGTGTCTGTGATATAAGGAGGGAGGGGATATCGGTTGCCGGGTTTTTGATTTAACCACTGCTAGGATTAATGCACACCATAAAGTCTAATTCAATTGTCGATTAAAGATATAGTCTCTAGTATAAAAAACATTCATTTCAAGGGTGATGTTTTAAACGATCATACAGGGAGAAGCAATTAGACCTAACGTATAGCATTCATGTATACATAACCATTAAGACAGCGATGCGGTGAGCGGATGCAACTCGTGTAAACAATTGGGGGTGTAGTCATTCATGCTTTTAATTCAATCAAACTAATCATGCTGGTATTTTTGTGTAAATTAGTCGCGGAATCTGTTCTAAACACGGTAAGCCATTGGTTAAATATATAAGTACTGAAAAAACATTTGTCATGTCAGAAAACAGGGTTTAAATATACTGCTAGTTAACAGCTGTCGGCTTAGTGGAGATATTTACAATTCATTAGACAATCTTTCCCACGCGTGCACATTTCATGTAATAACTAAATCTATTCAAGTAGACGATTCGGTAAAAAAAATTCAAAGGCGCTATTTCGTTTCACCTACTTAATAAAATGTCGCTAGTTGGTCGCTAGGTATCTCGTTGCTGTCATTTACGATAACACGAGCCTGTCATTTTGCAGTATTACGTAGCGGGATGTTATAAATCTATATTAAGTCTTTAGTGAATTTTCTGACACGTATTCAATAAATCCAAATAACACATCCTACTCCCATAACAACCCATGTCAGAAGAGTCGGCGGAGATTAACAGATAGCTGATACAAGGACATTAGGCAAATGTTGAGTATACAAAAAAAGAACAACATATGGATTCAGACCACAAAAGGGATGCATAGAAGGATTTTTAACTTTTGTAATTAAGCAACCGCTTTTATGTTTGTCAGCGCTTTGGATCGGTACCTGATCTGGTTTGGTACCATTCTGTGTTAGTTACAAAGTAAAAGATCTAGACCTGGACATTTTTATAAGTAAAATGAATGGCTACATAATATGCAATACAGTAGGCCAAAGAGAATTGAGTAACAAATACTATATGAATCAACAACAAGTACTAGTGAAATGTGGAACCAGATAGATGCATAACTAGGATGTCATGCCAGACTGGAAACTGAATTAAACTGCTACATCGGTTCTGATTTATGATTTTTCCGCATCACCATTTAAACATACATTATGCAAGAGCTAAATCTATCTATTGCAGGTCTTTCTTTAGGCCTGAAATGTTATCTAAATTATTAATTAGACATTAATTAACTTATCCAGACCATAATCATTTCTAGATGGCATCGCTAGCCTGCGATCTTAAGTGGATTGTGAGCCGATTTACTGCATAACTTTCCTTCTCGATTAAACGATTAAATAGATAATCGAGACTATGCTGTTTATCGTACTGACTTTAGTAATGATGACCGAGGCTAGGCAGAAATTTCATTAGCTTAGTTTTCGGTTCATAGTGGGTCAATTTGAATGAAATTTTCAGCAAATTGCCTTTACGTTATCTAGTTTTTAACTATTATAGTGAGAACTGCCAACTCGTTCTCGAATCTCCCATAATGTATCTTTAAGCTCTGCTGATGACCCCGGGTTACCTAAAGTAGAACTCTGAAATCGATGCTTTAACATTACCACTATTTATCTACTGGTAATGACGAGTGTCGTTCAGGGGGCAGGATATGCATGCTGATTTCTAGAACACCTGATATTACCTATCGTTTGTTTGGGGAATCGTTGTACATTTGTATTATTATATCTGGGTATGAAACTGTAAACGGAGACCTAACATATAAATTTAATATTGTATAAAGGTGTTAACAAGCTATTAGAGATGTTGGTATGTAACACACTTCAATAAAGGTGTTAAATACCTGAATTTATAGCTACTATAACATATAGAGTTACTCTAACAATACAATACTACTGTCAATGATAAATTACCCTTAATGATCACGGTTTTTTTTCATACATAATAATCAAAAGGGTGATTTCGGAGTGGGATCTAGACTAGATATATTTTACGACTTGTAACTAGACGATTATTTTCTATCGAGTACCATGTGTTAGAACTTGTTTGTGTCGAGGTTACGTTACCCCTCTACCCCGCACCCCTTCTCTCTCTCTCTCTAGACTAGATATATTTTACGACTTATAACTAGACGATTATTTTCTATTGAGTACCATGTGTTAGACCTTGTTACCCCCTCTACCCCCCCACCGCATCCCCTCTCTTTCGCGCTTTCTCGTCGTCAGAAAAGGAATGTGTGCCGTTTCTGACAGGACACGATTCCTTGACAATCGCATTTTCAAGAAAAGTATGTGGAAACGCACGCTCTCTCTCTCTCTCTTTCTCTCTTGTCAGAAAAGGAATGTGTGCAGTTTCGGACAGGGCACAATCCCTTGACAATCGCATGTTCAAGAAAAGTATAAAAGTTTGCGCAATCTCTCTCTCTCTCTCTCTCTCTCTCTTTCGACAATACGGTCTAATAAGCCACCTAAGTCACTTCTTTGTTAATTTATCTCAAGGATATCTTTATCGTCTAATAATATCACATTATACAAAATTATAATTATTCTTGCATAATAAATAGTGTTTACAAGGACGAGGTGGGTTTATATATTATATACTTCACTTCACAAGTCTTCACTATTCACAGAAGCGGAAAAAATGGTTCAACAATTTGAGGTATTGAATTAATTCGAAATATGAGGTATTTTGAAATGACAACGGTGTTAACGTTGCGTAGTGTCAAGTCGTCGAGGCGTTCCTTGTGTATATATAAATGAATTAGCTCAGGTATGCAATTTCACGCATACCTGTGCAATTACCTACGAAAGATAAATAGGCTTCATTGAAATCAGCGTAAATACCTTGAATTGGTGTTAAGCATTCTTTTCCCATGGGTATTGTTGTACTTTGAAGCTATGTGAAGATACAAAGTTGTGTTTTTATAAAAACCTAAAGAACTTAAAATCTTCATGTAATGCATGTTAGCGCTAACAATAATAGTGCTAAGCAGTAATAATATCTGAGCAATATATGTTATTGTAATCTCTACTCCGTTGTGCTTGAACTATACGGTATCTAGAAGAGTTCTCTTCTACTCGTGTAATGCTTGTTAGTGCTAACAATACCAAGCAGTAGTAATATCTGTGCAATGTACGTTATTGTAATCTAGCAGGATTCTCTTCTACTCATGTAATGCTTGTTATTGCTAACAATATTAGTACTAAGCAGTAATAATATCTGTGCAATATATGTTGTTGTAATTTTTACTCCGTTGTGCTAGAACTATACGGTGTCTAGTTGGGTTCTGTTCTGTTCGCTTAAAACAAACGCCGTGACTCGGGGATCATTCACGATCATGGAGACCATCGCACCATATCTGGCGTTTCCACCACGCTTTTACCACGCTTATGGCGATCTTGACGCGCTGTGCGACCATTTTCCGTCGCCGTAGCGTCGCAGTAAGGACGCCACCCAAGTCTGACGGGGGTATTAGGTTGGACTTCCGGAGAAGTTGCCATTAAAACCATTTCTGACTGGTTATATTATAACCAGTTAGAAATAAGTACCAAAATCTAACTGTTGAATAGTTACCGATTGTTTGACCTATCACCCTAAAACTATTGCCTGATTTCAGTTTTGTTATTAATCAGATAAACCGTGATTTAATCACCAATGAAGAACCTCTGAATTATAAATACATGTAGGAAATGTTTATCTCCTGATTCACTCCAACATGCCGGAAACAAGACGATTTAAACAAGGCTCAGGTTATTATCAGCTGTAAATCTCCCACATAATGACAAATTTATCATAAAAAATAATAAAAAGCCCCTATGACTAACACCCATTATATGCAATTGTAGCCTGTATTGAAAATATCAAATTGTAATTTATGGCTTTCGTAAGCTCCGACACAAGGGATTCGAGATAAGCAGATAGGCCATGTGCATCCTGTATTGGTTCACAAAACCCAGCGTCGCCAGTCAGAACAACCGAACAGAAACAAAGAAGAATAAGAAATATACCCCTATTCATACCATACCATGCTATGCAATTAAACCAGATGTTGTAAACTTTGTCTCATCCTGTTTAAAATCGTAAATCAGATAAATCTAGGCAAGTTTTATCTATTCGTGTTGTATTCACGTGAATCATTCGAACAAATTTTTGCACACGTCATCCCAAACAATTTATAAATAATCACGATAATTTTTCTACCTTGAAATTATCGCTATCGTCCTATTAAATATTAATATTATGAACCTAGTAAAAAGTGTTAAGTACATCTATTCATAGAAAGTCATGAGCCATAAAAAGGAAAACATAACTATTGTATACATGAGTATGTATATATGTATTACACATGAAACCTATATAAAGACATACCAATCATACTACTGTACATGAGCTTGTTTATCACTGTAGCCTACGATAGCATAACTTGGAACAAGGAAGAGAAAACAGTATCAAATGTATCATTGTAATTGCCGTCACTTTTAAAGTTATGTGTTTAACGATATTCGCAATTAGACAGGGCCCTCACAAGCCTATGTGGCGCCCCAGGGCAAAAGTTTCAGTTACGCCCCCTCACCCCATCTCGTGCATACTGTGACTGATTTGTTCAGTGTCTGCTCTCAATTGACTTTTTATGATTAAAGAACTTTTAAAATACAATTTATTTTATGCTTTTAACACTTTATCTAAATAACTATTTATTAAATCAACTGATATGTAATTTTTTTTATGTTTATTTCCACTTGAAACCTCCATTTGATCGAAAAACTCTATAATATATTTTGGAAAATCATAATTCTATATGCTGAAATATGAACTGGTTTACACAGGTTTAGGGGAAGCGAAGGCCGGTGCTTTGCTATATCAGCCGCCAATGAGTCTAGTCCATAAATATTGAAAGGGACCCCCTTTGAAAATTTCTGGTATGCACTTCGATAATTTGCCGCCCCCAAGAAGTGTCCCCTCCCCATCTATGTAAGGGCCTGACACCCCTATAAATAGTTACCACAGAACTTGGCATTGTAATCTGCCCTGTATATTCTCAATTATAGTAAACATAGTCTGAATACTAGTACACGTTCTACCACGTGGCGAGGAATAGTTTGTTTCAAATACGCTAACGCTAGAAACCGTTTTAAAATAGAATGAAACGAAATAGGGTTACCGTCCTACTTTTCTGCAGTCAGAGACAGAATGCTGCCACCAGAATATCTCCCGAAATAAGTTTTTTTAAATTGTCTTTGTTTATGTATAGATGAAAAAATAACCAATGTCCGACGTTCAAAGAGACTTGTGAAAAAGCAAATGGAACGCAAATTTTCCATATTATACAAATTGTAATACGCTTAATTAATGAATGATACTACAATTAAACTATTGTGTCGAATGGTTAACGCGTGCGTGTTTGATAACAAGGTCTGTCATTGAGTCATGTGGCATGATTTCCAATCCCCGCTTGTACGTGACAAGGAGTAGGGTCGCCTGTCCAACCTCGTGGGTTTTCTCTGGGTCCTTTGGTTTCCACTGTCAAAGACCCCTACGCGCTGGCGAATTATTTAAATAAAATTGATCCATATGTTAGTCCCGAAATTACCTCATATGCGTCGACCCTTCTCTCTCTCTCTCTCACCCTCTCTCTCCCCCCTCTCTCTCTCTCTCTCTCAAAAGGTTTCGTATCAACCACTATCTACTGCTACTTGTCTTCTTCGAATAATGAGCAAAGAATAACCCATTCGCCCAGACTTAAAAACTACAGTGTGCGATGACTGTGTTAGATTGTTGTCAATAAGAAATATGACAGTCGTCGAGAGATAATATTCGTTTTAAAATTCAATAAAATAAAATAAGAATACTTACGATGAGCAATATTAAAGCGTGTGAAATAAGTCCCAGTGACATCACCGTATACATGTTGAATAATGTTCCTTTATATACAAATTGGAATGAAATTTAGTTTAAAAGTTGATATCTTTGTAAAAGATATAACACTGACAACGTAAGTTGTGTACAACCTTAACGTAATACTACTATCAACGGTTAGAAGTCAAATAGCTAACTCACTATACACACACGAGCTTATTGCTTCTCCATACGGCTCGGTTTGAATTATCAGCTGTTCTAGTTCGACTCATCTTGTTCGGTCTAATTTATAGCTTTTTACGATTACGCGTATGTTTATCAGGAATGTTATGCCTGTCAGAATTCCGACTATTCAATGAATAACAAGTCATAGTGCGTGTTTATCTTCTCTTGCTCAACCTTTTCGCCATATATGGAAGAATTATTGTGACGTCAGAAACCATAACCTTTATTCTTACCAGCGATTGGTCGGTGTAGGAGTATTTCACACGAAGACAGGTCAATCAAATGCAAGCTTCCTTCGTTTATTGGTTGTTGGCATTTACTTGCTAAATTTAGATAGTTGGATAGAAAAAACGTATTAACGTGTGACCTGTTAGAAATATTTAGAGTATATTTTATAATAATAAAATAGGAGACGAAAACAAGTTTAGAAGTGCTTTCAAGTAGAACCTATTGTATATCGTAAAAGTATAAAGAAACAGAATACATTCTTTGCATTGTACACGAACTAATGAAGCATATTGTACACTTACAAATGCACTATTATGTGAAATGGCATGAAATGGGGTTTAAAGTCCTACTTTTTTACGCCAACCGAGCTAATGAAGACAGGTATGGGGAATTTTGCCCGAACAGTGGGGCTACGGATCTCCTGTTTAGTAGTGAGCCAGCAAACACTGAGCCACATTATTACGTACATGCATTAACTCGAATGTATTTTTCTCTGATTGATTCACCACTTGCGTCTTGACACTTGAACACCGCATAAATGATGGTTACAATTATATGCATGTAATCAGAACAAAGATATCACCAAAATGATAACGACGTGAAACAGAAAAACAGGCAGTCGCGGTAGCTCTGTGCTTAACACGCTGGTTGGCAAGTCTGAAGGTCCCTCGTTCGGTCCCGGTGACGGCCGAGAAAGTTCCTCGGGATATCCGATGTGATTTCTCCGTGAAAGTAGTGCAGAACGGAAGGCCTGACAAGGACAGCTGCCTAGTCGTTTGGATGGTACAAAAAACCGAGGTCCTGTGTACACGAGGTTCAACAGGCGACCCACCCCTTGTCACGTACAAGTGGGGAATCAAAACCACGCCACTTGACTCAATGACAGACCTTATGAGGCATCCATTCGGCCACCCAACTCTGCCAATGAAACATTAGTTTTAAATTAGGAGTACTGATCTTGAGATAAATTGTATTTAAGGTCTTATTTTTCAGCACTAATTGTACTAATTATGTGTTCTAGCCACACAGTGTGCTATGAGTGAAATTTTGCCCGGACAGCGGCACCACGACCTACTCTTATATCGAATTCCAACCGTGTACACGGGACCTCGGTATTTCGTCCCATCTGAACTACTAGACAGCTGTCCTGGTCAGGCCCTCCGTCCTGCATCACTGACAAGGGGGAACCACGCCGGAAAATCTGGATGAACTTTCTCGGCCAATGCAGGGATCGAACACCCGACCTCCAGGCTAGCGAGCCAGCGTCTTACCCACTTAGCCACCGTGCCCCCCTTGCACTACGGTTTAGATAATGTTGTTTCGATTTCACACTGTCAGGGATGTTTAACTTGCTGACAATGGTATCAATGGGTTCTTCGGGGTTTTCATCCCCTCTGAACGACCATACGCCGCCCTGGACCACTAAAAAAGGCGAGGGGGACTAAACGGGCCATTCACGGGGAATTTTCATATAGTCTTCACCAGAATCGATCCCCGAGAACTTCTGTTGAATGAAACATACTCACCGGGCCATCGTGAGTCCAAATATTTCTTAAAAGATGAGGTATGTCACCGAAAGAAGTTATTAGTCGGGTTACAATAAATCGTTTGTTTCCAGAACATTCTGAACATATTCTAAGCGAACTCTAATCGAAAGATATAGTCGCAGGTGCTAAGATATTCTTTATATATCTATTTGCATGTTTTTGATGTTCTGCGAGGTAGCGATAACGAACCATCAAAGGTGAAAATGATTGATGTTCTTCTTAGATCTACAAATTTCCAGCTTTTCATATTTTTAGATAAGAATTTTATTTGTGTAGGCGACCGATTGTCTTTGTCCAAAGCGTAATGTAATTTGTTTATACAGAAATGCATACACCAAGGCTGCATAAGTCTAATTGAAAACAAGTTAGGAATGTATAAAATAAGTGAACATCTTCAGTACCATGACGCTGTTTCTCGAAATCTTAACTAAAGATAAAATCCAAATTTTAGTAGATACTTCAAGTTTGATTGGCTAAGCACTAAAATCAATCAAATATTATCCAATCAAATTACTAAAAATTTGATTTATCTTAGTTAAAATTTCGTGAAACAGGCCCCAGTAACTTTGCATAGCAGTAAGCCATACAGGAAATGATGCCATTAGCAGTCAAACGACCAGTGATGGTGGTCACAACAACTGATCTGTGCTACAATGCTGGTGGTCATTGTACGTGACAAGGAGTAGGGACGCCTGTCCAAACTCTTGGGTTTTCTCCGGGTCCCCCAATTTCCTCCAACTGCTAAAGACTCCTACGCGCAAGCGACTTATTGAAATAAAATTGAACCGCATGGACGGGACAATGGGTAGGGCGGCCTGTCCAACCTCGTGGTTTTCAACGTTTCCCCCGGTTTCCGCACACTGCTAAAGACCCCTACGCGCAAGTAAATTATTGAAATAAATCACCAAAAGGACCATATTTATTAAACATACATTATAACATAGCCCAAGCAAATAAACAAGAAATAACATATGATAAAGGAATCCAAAATACGCCGCGTAGAAATTTGGAAGAGATTCTGAACATATTTTGGAATTCTTGTTTTTGTATATGTGGTTCACTAATGATATGATAACAAACTAAAGGCTGTTATGTCGGTGATTTCGATGTTCACCATAACGGTTTAGGTATAACCGACCCTCCATTGTTTAGAAAGGGGCCCCGGTGGATTACCACCAACCACTAAATTTGGGGTTCGATTACGGTGTTGGAAGTTCCCTGGGATTTTCCATCGCGGTTTCCAATGGTCAGTGGTGCAGTGAGGGGATTCCCTTGTACACGTGGGTGTACACGTAAAAGAAACCCCGATCGCTGGAATTAGAAATAAATGTAGACAGTAGCGGCGCTATCCGGATAATATGCCCCGTCGTCATAACATGTTGTTGGATGAAGTTTAAAAATCTAATTAACTAAGTCGTTGCAGAATTGTTCAAAGAACAAGCATGCCAATCATCATGTCGATCGGACTTGAATTGACGGAGCCTTGGGTTTTTTTCAAAGAGAGAGAGAGAGAGAGAGAGAGGTTTAACGTCCACTCCACACAAACTAGGTCATTTCGGGACTAGCACTTGGTTCAATTTTATTTCAGTAATTCGCTTGCGCGTAGGGGTCTTTAGCAGTGGGAGGAAACCGGAGAAAACTCACGAGGTTGGATTTTTCGAAGCGCGTCACCCCACAAAGAAGAACAACAAGAACAAGACGAGTAGAGGTTAGCGACCATTTTCTGGTCCTAAAATAGGACGTTAAACCCCATGCCATTTGATTTCATTGTGTGCAAGGTGAAGTGACAATTTGCCAAGAAAGCATCACCTTGGTCAGTCTTTCTAGGTTTTGATTACATTAGACAACAACAGATTGTCAAGTGTTTTGGTATATCTATATAAATTTAAGGACAATAAACTAAATTAATAATTGCCATGTATTCGTGCTATCTTCATATGAAAAGAAACCGGTCACATGAAGCCTATTTAATATAGAACAACTGTGTAACACTATGAACAGATTTCTGAAATATTTCCACGGTGTAAAAGGTCAAGTAGCGTTTCATTCATGAATCACTGGAAGAATTTATCAATCAAGTTCGCCCCACCTTCTTAATCCGGCGATATATTTATAGCGGAGACTGGTGTTATCAGGCAACATGCTACTGACTTAATGACTTAATGAAGGTATGGTAAGAGGCAATAACCACCCCCTTAACAGAGGCTACATAAAACAGAGCTGGTTTGTTTACTCTTTCTGTTAGTTTTGAATCACCAGTGGTGCCCTTCTGATTAATATTCGACTGTTTTAGCACACACCGTCAAACGTTCTTAATTAACCAATTTTAATGTGATCAGATATTATCAACAAATCCTACTCATAAAGCACGTATCTCTCAGTGGAAGGCTGGGATGATATCAGCCAACAGATATTGTGCTTAAAGAAACACACAACCACTGCCCCGCAACAAAAATATAGCTTTTTGGGGATCTGCATTCCGCATAACATTCATCCTTATATTATATACACAGATGCCCTAAGTTTGAGGGGAGGGTGTGGGGGTTTGTAAGGCAATGACGACTCAATAAATGTCGGACTTTCATTCGACGATGGTGTGTAAGGTAGTGGACCTGGCAAGGAAAATCGTCTAGTTGTTTGCATTGGACGAAAACCCGAGGTTCCGAGCATACCCGTAGTCAGCACGTCAATTTCTTCAGCAAGTGCTGGATTCCTTGTGGTTGAAACGTCAACTGCCTTGTTGGACTGAATTGCATTTTTGCATTTTTTATGTCATGTTACAATTGATTAACAAAGGCTTTAACAACCAGAGCCATAATTATTGTTCTATGAAAAAGCTACGAGTGTTAATCACGACTAAACACGCCACCACCATTATTCGAACGTAAAGTATGAAGCGGGCTACTGGGTTGGCCAGTTGACTATATACTTACTATAGTTTGACACAACAAAATGCATTGGTACGGCAGTGTTGGGTGTACACCTATCTAAAAGAAACACAGCAAAGAGAACCTATTGGTATGAGACCAGTGCTCCCTGATTCAAATAGACCAATGTCGTCGAGTGCGAGCTGTGTGGGGTGCACCCTGAAGGCTGAATAATAACCAATTACCCCGGTTAGAACGATACCAATAAACTACGGACTGTTACAGGTGTTAATTAGACACGGCTTGGTAACGTAATAAAACTCTACTGACCGACTCACTATCATAAATAATGAAGGTAACGACTTCCCGTGTTTTAATCAAACTTTTATCACTTCCACTCGAACTAATCTATAGATTCGTCTACAGTCTTGAAGGTCAGGGCGTTATTTTACCCAGCAAATTCACTATATGGAAATATTTAGTCCGATTTGATTCTAAGGCAGAGAAATG